GTATGTTGACAAGGAATTTACGTACAGTGTGGTGTTATTTTTTCCGTCTCCCGTTAGAAACGAAATAAACATAGTAAATTAAATAGTACGTTCAAGAGCTTAGTATGGTTGCTTGTTAATTACTTAATCAATCCCTGAGTTTTGCAATGAGTTTTCTTCCTCCCCCTCTTCGCCGCCGTCTCTCATACTCTAGGTTTACCTTGACCACCACCATGCCAACGTGCCTAAGTATTTCTTTCTTAATGGCTGCTTAAACGCCAAAAAGCCAGGCCACTAGGTTTGACTGCGGCGGGAGAGAAACAGAGTTCAGCTTGTTAGCAAATAAAGTGTTGTGGATTGGAAGACCCCTAAAACACAACAGGGCTACATATTCTAAATTAACAGAAATTTAGTTCAGTTAAGAAAATAGTTCTCAAGAATTCCGATGCCTCTAGGGCTAGAGAGAAGTAGTGCTACTATAAAATATCAGAAGTTCTAAAATAAAAACAAAAAAAAAAGATCGTGCAAGTTACGAGAACTAGTGGCTTTGATGTCAATGCCACAGATCTTCCAACCTCGCCTTTAGGCGTAATAGCGTGTGCTACGAGCAATAAACTCTTTGCCCTAGATGCTCGTCACCAAGAGCGAGTGCTGGATTTGCGGTGATCATTTATGCAAAAGAAGTTGAGATATGTGAAAAAGCAGTATGCAGATGCATTATCACGACGCATCTGCAAAACAGCTGAGCAAAACTGGGAAGCGTCTAAAAAAACCAGTAGTCACCACAACAATTAATAATCATAGAAACGAGTGCTTTTGCAAGGAGTACTATGAGACGTTTGACTCTTAGCATCACCAGAGAGAGAGAGAGAGAGAGAGAGAGGGATTAGAAACTTAGTTTAACAGATACAATTCCAGAGAAAAGGAGGCACACGGAATCAAAAATGCAAAACGGTTTATTTTTGAAAGAATTGATTTTTGACGCAATTCCTTAGCTTAATTTAATCTACTTTAGCCTCTGATTACTGATAAATAAATCTAAAAAAAATCAAAATTTGTGAAATAATTTTTTAAAGAATTGATAACAATTGTACAATGAATTTGGAAACAAATAAAAACATAATAATCGGGGCGAGACCGATTCGTCTAATAAAAGTTTTTATTTATTTTTATGACAAGAAACGGAAAACTATATGTATATATAATGTGTATGTATTTATATATGTTTTATTTAATTCTCTTGCTAGAGATCTTATTATTCTTCCCTTATGTCCCTTCCGTCATAAAGTATCAAAAATTGCATTTTGTTACCATACAAAGACTTGTTTTTCGTAAGAAATCTTGTATGGTATTCGGGCCAAAACGTAGAATATGCTTAGGCCATCTGTAGATTGAACAAAAAAATGCTCGGACTGACGTCAGACAGATGGACAGATGGACTACCACGGATGGACAGAATGTCATGCGGACAGATGGAGAGACGGACAGACAAGCAGACGTACAGAAAATCAGACGGACGCAGAGACAAGCTGGAATCGATTCAGAAATATAGTAAAAAAGATTCTGAATCGGTTTCTGCAATATATGATGGGCCTATCTCACATCCGTGCGGATGTTACGCGCATTTCTGCACATCTTTATATTCCTTGCACGACAAGTGCCGTGCGATGTAATTAATTAATTTGGTGCAGAAAGTTATTAAGCGAAAGGTAAAGATAACCAGCGTAGACATTTTTCCCCAAGTTTTTAACAAAGAAATAAAATTAAAAAAAAAAACCGGCAATAAATCATAAGAAATGAAAGTGAAACCGAGCCTAACGCACAATTTAAAAACTTCCTTACATTTTCGCACCTGTTCCCCTACAGGCATTAACAACTTTAAGCTGAATTCTCTTCTTTGCTTTTAAAAAAGGTTTTTGAAAAGACTTTAGTTTATTTCTTCTTTAAACAACTCATGATTATTTTATTAATTTATTTTTTTTTTTTTCAGTTTATATTATTTATTTATTTTTGTCAATGGTTTAGAAGTTGACAGATTATCGCAGTATATTTATAAATAAAAAAAAAAAAAAAAAGAGGAAAAAAAATTTACTTAATCATTGTTGACATATGGCAATGATATGTGATAAGCATAAATGAATGTAATGTGATGTGATGATGGATTAGCTCGCGTATCGCGAATACATACACACGCACGCTTACAAACAACGAATGAATAATTATGAAAAGCATTATGATTTGAAACAAAATAATAGAAACGAAAGATGTCAACTAAAGTCAGATTAAATAACAGAGATCTAGAGATCCTCTAAGAGTAAGAGTTTATGAATGAGGGCAAATATGTTATAAACAAATACAAATACAATCATACAATACATAGACATAGACATTAATGTAACGACATAAATTCTATTATTATATATATTTAGTGTAAAAATATTTGTATATATATATATATATGTATGTATATATGTATGTATATATATATATATATATATATATATATATAATATAATATATATATGATATAATATATATATGATATATATATATGCATATATATATAAACATAAAATGTATGATATAAAAGGACGTTTACATACACACATATACGTAACAATTCAATTTCAATTTAAATAATAAACTAAGTGTTTACAACTTAGCAGCAAATATGATATGTATTCGAAATAAGTTTATTAAGTAATTAAGTAAGTAAGAGGAAGAGTGAGTGACTTTCGAACTAATAAAACGGGATGGATAATGAACTAAGTGAAAAATCAAATTAAATTTGTTTGTTTTCTATCGTTTGTTATTATTAAAGTGTATTAAAAGAAAAAGTAATCATGAAACTTTTTAATTTAATTTCAATTGAGTTTTTTTTTTTTTGCATTTTTTTCCTTTTTTTCCCCTATGAAAACTAATTAAACTTTTGTTAAAGCTGAACATGATTGTTTTTCATTCTTTAATGAAATAATTATTACATACGATGCAAGCACACTTTCACTCACTTCCAAACACGCAAAGGTATACAAGCGATGTAATTAACAGTAACCAAACGTACAAAAAAAAAAATGCAATGCAAATAGTCGACTTGGAACGAATATCGCTGAAACCTGCCACCTAAGCTAATATGGAAAAATTATTTAGATTTTTCTTGTTTTTTTTTGGTTAATGCAATTGCCTGACTTTGAAGCTTTTCTATTGAAACTTTTATGAAAATTTACTATATGTGAGGTATGTATGAGTGGAGGTGTCTAACAACAATAAAGTTTTCTCGAACATGACAAAATCCACGGGGTCTATCCAGTATTATAGAATATCGAAATTTATCTTTTGTGGTTTTTGGTTTTATGCTCTACGCCAATTGAGGCATAAGTTTGTGCGGTTGTATGCAACACTCAGAACTCATAAAGATAGATCCACCTTTTATTATACCAATCGACTCAGAGACACTTTATGAATCGACCTAGGCTTGTCAATCCATCTGTAGGTTGGGTCAGTCTTGTTTCCTTTTATTTAAAGTTTGTGCAGATGTATGCAACACCCAGAATGACTTCATGTCATTAACCACATTCCATTACACTGATCGATTTAGAAAATGATTCTGAATCTAAGATTTTCATGAAATTTTGTGCACTGGCGTGTTTTGGTCAAGGACAAGAAAATGCTTCGAAAACAATCGCCTTACCGTTCGCTTTTCATATAACGTCTTATTTTGTAAAATCGATATATGAATATTTGTGTTGTAATGTAGGGTATTAAATGCTGACCCTTGCCTCATTATAGCGTTTTTACGACTTTCGAATATCTACAATCGGATTTCTACATCTAGTGATGGTTACCCGCATATAATAAAGGGGATCATTTTGATCCGGTTTTGTTGCCGAATTGCCACAGCCGTAAAAATTAAAATAAGAAAAAAAAACAGTAGGATCCAAGTTTAAAGTATAGTCGCGATATGTATTTAAGTAAGAGAAGCCGAAAGTCTAGCTGAAAAATGGATCCGACCATTTTACTAGTACGGACGACAATATTTTAATTTCTACTCTAACGCACACTAGCACGGTCTTCATCCAATTACATATGAATTGGAAATAAGGTGGAAATAAAGCTTGAAATTACAATTTTATTGTTCATGGTGAACGTATTAGTAAACCCGCTTCCACTATTTTTGGCCGGAAATTATAAGCGGCTTCGACAAAAGTGTGAGTAGCAGATTTTACGAAATATCTTCATAGGACAAAAATTTGAGAGAATGGCCGATGTTTCTAATCTATTGCGGATCGCGATCATTTATTAACCTTGGATTTTTAATCGATCAAGTAATGTTTGTGATTAATTTCGGTTTCCTATTAACTATTAAGCATAAGGGTGATTAAAATAGTCCCATTTTGATAGCAGGATTTGGGTAGTTCTAGTGCTAAAATGAAATTAATTTTCTTTTTATAACCATTGTCTGGGATTTTTTCAAGCCAGACAGGTAGAATTTGTCCGAAAGTATTTGTCAAAAACTTGAAACTTTTAATGACAACATTTGTTGCTTTCGTTAGAATTTCAAATAAAAAGAGTACAGATGGACGGATACACGGACGGAAGGACGGACGGACAGATCAAGAATTTATCAAAATTAAATTGACTGAGAAAACCATAGTTTACTTTAAAAGGCTTTAAATACTTGTCTCCAATTGCAAATAGCATTAGGATCAGGTTTTTTTTATCATATTCTTTGGTGGTAGATGTAATGGAGACTACATACGCTTACTCTTAATATTGTAATTAATATTATTATTAATTTTTTATATTTCTTTTTGCTTTACATTTAACATTACATACATACAAATTAAATATATAATAATATATATATACACCTATCACAAATGCACATACAAGAGCTAAATGCACATACAATCATGTATGCATAAAGGGCGAAAATATTTTTATTTATATATATATTATAGCTACACATATGCATTTACGCATATGATATATGTGCAACAGAATTAATATTTGTATTAACTTACCGAGCGGGTAAAATTAATGCATCGAATTCTGTTGATAAATGGCGACGTATAATATTCTTTGATGGCGGTATTCCCAAAGCTGTTGCCATGGTATCGCCGGAGAATGATGGTTCCAATACCACTAAACCGCCATGCACACCGCTATCTGTAAGTAATTAAAAAGTGAAGCAAGCAGTGCATATAATATGTTTGCATTATTATCATCATAATAAGAAATTTTATCAATTGAAAGATGAATTTTCAATATTCATTATACATAAATCATATTAAACGCATGATAAAACATGAATTGACGCCATCAACAAAGTGGTTTTAATGTGTGTGAACAATAGGTTTCAGTTCAATAAAATAATTGATCACTTTTTAGCTAATTTCAAGATTTAAAGCATGCGAGAGCATTTAAGGACGGGATTCTTCTTTAAAACTTCTTGCTATACCTTTATTTTTTATAACCTAAGATAAGAAAGAAGTTAGCCTCGCTTCGGTATGCATGCGTAATTGTTCTATGGCTTTGACAGGCTATTAGTTTTAAGAGAAACTTTTCTTTTAATAAAAACATTCCTGCTGTGTTGGTTTTATTTACTATCTACCATCGAAGCGAGTGCGCTTAGTTTGCCTTAGTATTTGCCATAGAATATGCCAGTTGATCGTTCGTGACCCGTTAAATACTGGTATTAATTACATTACACCATTATACCTTCTTTAATGTAATATAAGCCAATAAATCTTCGTTTCAAATCGGATCTATGATCATTAACTAGTCCGTCAAACGTGTTCTCTCTAATAGGAAATAAGGAAAAGGCAATTAATATCGGGCATACAGACAGGGAGGTAACTGAATATAACTGAATTGAATCGAGATCTTCCTTTAATGAGAAATATTTTTCAGATGTTCGTAGTCTGAGGCATAGTTCTGTGCTTTACAATGAGAGAGACAACACATGTAATATATATCTCATTTTACTCTTATTTATATTATATGGGTATGATAGACAATTGAAGACATTAAACCATTTCAACAGAAACTAGCATAAAATTATAAAAACAAATAAAAACTATCAACCTTGCGTTTAGTATGAACAGCTTTGTATTCGTCTAAAATTCCGCAAACCAACAATAGATACTTTACTGCGATGAGTAGAAAAAGCTAATCTATATATATGTATATATACGGGTAATATTAACAAGCGAAAATGTTATAGTGAACTACGGCCGACCATTAAATACCCTATAACTATTCGCTTAACACAATTAATTACTTCAGATAGGAATAAGGCGTTGCATTGGAAGTTGTCGAAAAAGGAAGTCCGATCCGAACCATGTTCACGCTCGATTCAAAACATGCAGATGTAGCAAAATATCCCCCAAGTTGCGACAGGTAAGTTAGTTGAACACAAATATTCAAAGGCAGACATAGGAGGGAGAGACGGGCAGACAGACAGGCGAATACGACGACATACCAAATTTCCTCAAAATATTTCAAAAATTTGCGATCTGTAGGTTGAACTTAAGAGTACAATATGCGGACATACGCACAGGCAATATAAGGTCAATGCAGAAAGCGATTCTGGTTGGTCTATTTCATATCCTTCTCGATCTTGTGTATATCCGCGCAGACTTGTACCACAAGTGGTACAGGATATAAAAGGTTAAAACTGTACGTTTACATTTACATAGATTAAATATTCTGCACTGCTTTGTTTATTACAGTCAGAAATGAAGAATTTAGTAAGACTTGGAAATTTTATCGGTACAAAGATAACATTCGCGTTTCGTCTTTTAGCCTTTACACACAAAAAAAGAAGTTTCGCGGAAGGCGCGAACTCCCCATGTAGTTTGTTTATTGTCAAATTCGTTACATGTGAAGCTGTCGACCCGTTTCCCTCCTATGTTAACAAGGGAACCATCACGCTTATGTTCATTACGGATAGTTGACACAAAGAGAATCGGAATTTCAAGAATTTCAAGATTTAATTTAGTGTAAAGAGTACAAGAGGAGGATTAGCATTAATTGTTTTTTTGGCTGAATATCATACCTGACATCGCTTGTGATATAAGAGAATGGCAAGTTTTTGCGGATGTGTGCAACACTTACAAACACTTAAAACAGCCAATCGATTTTACCTTGTCTGTCCGCCTGTCCTTCTTGCAGTCTTGTGTTTAAACTGCAGATCGACGCGTTTTTCCACAAGAAAGGAATGCTATTAGCTGTGATTTGGATCGGACAGATTTTTCGACCAGTTTCCAACTAATGTTTTTTTTGATTATTAAGCGAAGCGGTGTAGAGCATTTAACGGTGGACCGTGGCTGACTGTAATGCTTGTACTTTCTTTATATTAAATTAACTTTTTTCTTTGAGTTCGTAGAACATTATCTTGATTAAACGCATAACATCATCTTTCGGTCATGGGGATTGAACTTGTTAATGAGGTTTTGTTAAAAGAATTTCAACTTGACTTTGAAATTTTTTTTTTTGAAAGTAACTAAAACACCATATAATTATCTACGATGTGGTAATTTTTCATATTTGTTTGCATATTGTTCGCTTTCGTTATGATTATCAAGCAATTAAGAAAATATCGCATTTTACTAGCTTACAGATAGAGGGGATAGGACCTTTGTTTTTCCAAATGAATTTCGAAGAGATCAAATCATTGCGTTTAGTCTAACTACTTGGTCAGAGATTAAGTTGTCTAATTAAAGGTGAACGAGCTATATTCCACGCTTCGGATTAATAAATTAGGTCGGCCCCTTTTTGGTGGTCAAGGAATGCTTTTATTTCAGAACAAAATGAATGAACAGATTAGTGTAACCATTGTCCAGTGCTAGCTACTACCTCTCCTTAACTCTGAGGTAGCCTTGAACACATATCACGGCTTTTGGGACGCTATCCTTAAATTAACCCATATTTGGATACATTAATAAGAATCGAACCACCGTTCGAGCAAGCAATCATCTGGAAGCCGTGTTAATTGGATGGAGTAATGGCTGCTGAAAACAACTGAAACGATATGACATTCCATTGCAGCTCTACCACATAGCTGGTAATATTTTCAGAGCGCTTTTTGCTCTATGGAGATGATTGATGTTTGCTTTATGCAGCAAACTCATAATATTATGACTTTCGTCTCGAATGTATTAGTTACTGTTGCTAGCGTTCCTTTTGATGGTTTCATTTGGTTGAAACAAACCATAATACACCACGCCTAGTTAACCCATTTAATAGGACTTTATTTTCGATGTTAATAATTCGCCTACATTGCTTCATGCTTTTCGTGGGTTTTAGATATCGTAGCGGATCCATTATTCCTAAGAATTTAGAAGAGCCCTTTCCTTCAAAATAATCAGGAAAGTGCGTTTTTTTTTCTTTTGGCACAGAACTGCATCTATTCAAAGCTCCAAGCAACAATGTAATGAACACCTTAGCTTGATCATTTATGCAATTGCGTGTAGCTTAAGGGTAGTACTTTTAAATGCAGAAATCACATTCTACGGCACTACTTACACTTTCTCTTGTTAAAAGAGTGACCAAACTAATTTGTACTAACAATACAACGTCATAAATAGTTCTTATTAGATCTGTTAGCGCGGTTTAGGTCAAACTTCAAAATCTACTTGTTAAAGATTTTTTCTTCAAATCTTTTCATTGATCATCAAACGTATCAATTGAACAGATTGCTATGATCACTTTCCTTAGCGTGTAGTTCGCGACTTTCGAAAGTGATTTTGGGAGGCAATGCGAGTAAAGTAATAAAGTTTTCCCCTTATAGGCCTATGTTTTCAAAGTATTGTGTATTCAAAAAAAGGGAAAAAGAAAATTAACGAACCGTTTTACGCAGTTGTTAACCGATGTCCTTTGGTCATTTGTACAAACCTTGAAATCTGAAAGGCAAACGTATCAATTAATTGAATAAATTCTTTTGAAAGCTTTTCCTTCGTTTACATTAAATTAATATGTAACTGAAAAATAATTACAATTTTCAGTGGATCCATTACATTTCCAAACTTTCTTTTCATCAATTTCGACCGCAACAGCCAACCAAAAAAAAAAAAAAACCGGGCAGCGACTACCGTGCAACATAATTTCGTATTTGGTTCAAGCAAAGCGATCTCCTCGACATTCGATACGACATAAATGATTCATTAAACGAAATGATAAAATTAAGAAACCACTCTTCTCTGTGTTGCTTTGTTTACATTTTCGTATGAGTGACTGTGCTTGTTATATTACGTAAATGTGAATAATATTCAAATGAGCTAATGAATCAATGGTGTGGATTGATGTGCAAAGAGAAAGAGAAAGAGAAAGAGCAAGTTAAAATTGTATTTATTTTTCCTCGTTTTTTTTCATCATTAAATCGTATTTGCACATTAAAAATTTTACTTTCCACAGGACAAGAGGAAACTTTTCAATTATGGCCAAAACAGATTTTTCATTGTGCAAAAAAGCGAAAAAAAAGAAAAAACAAGAAAAAATTTATTATTCATGTTGTGCTTTTAAGCTGATTTCGAAATTGTATGTGATTCTGTAGGTAATCATCTATTTGTTAAGAAACATGAGCAAACTTTTTAAGTACGAAATGTTGTTGTTTTTGTTTAAAATTTGACGATTATTTTGTCCCTACTAAAGTATTACAAACTTACATTTCCTTTCAGGAATGGGTAGGGTTTACTATCCTCCGTACTATTTAGGTCTTATTAAAGCCAAAAAAGTCTAAAGAACAACTGAAAAGTATTATGGTAAACAGAGTTACATGGATAATAGAAAAGAGAAAGAGAGAGAGAGAGAGAGAGAGAGAGAGAGAGTAAGAAAGAGGTTAATGACTTCTCAGTCATTTTACACAAAAACTGTGCAATCGTCTACGTTTCTCTCTTGCTGTCATTTATAAGCAAGAAGTAGGTAAAGAGGGTTCAAACTTTTGCTTGTTCAAGAGAAAAAGAATTTTGGTTTGCACATTATGCCAAAGCAAAGGCTTTAGTTAAACTCATCATGCATAGGAAATTTACTATATTTGTCTAATATTTGCAATATATAGAAATCTTCATCGAAATCTTTCCATATTGAAATAGCTTTTGGTCCGCATTAATGAGGAAATCGATTTACTCATTTATAACTATTGCTCTCTCTCTCTCTCTTTCTCTCCCTGTCTCTCTGTTTATTGAAATGAGGATGACTTTAATAGTCTTAAAATAGGACAAATTTGATACCTCCCCCTTTTTTTCTTTCTCTAGCTGCGTTAGGTTCTGACAAACTCGTTTTGAAACATTAAAGTTACACTTAAATTTTATTTTACGAGAGTTGTCGAATCAAATTGTATGGTTTAACCAGTCAAGTGTGTATAACGAATATATCGTCTGTTCTTTTTACAATAACAAAGTTTCAATTAGCAGACTTTGAACGAGATCGTACGTATGGACTGCCAAGACCCGAAGAATGGCAACAAAATGGTATTGAATGGTTGAAAGGGCAGTCGATCAAAGGGCATTTCAACAAGTGCTATACATTGCAATTTGCTTGGCTATTTGGACAGGGGAAAGTCCTGTTCAAGATACCTGCTTCGCCTGCTTGCAGTGGAACAGCAACCAGCTTAGTGAGAATGTTTCAATCCAGTCATGTGTCAAAGCAATAAACAAGACTTCTTGCTTCGATACTTAATTATGAGCTAGGCGGGGCTCTTAGACTTCGCACGTGAGATATTAGAGTAAAACAACTTCTTCTTGACAAAATGTTCAATAAGTTATTTAAGCATAACTTTCAGAAAAGTACACATTTATTTGTGATATATGTGGATCCTTTTACGCTCTAACTGGTACCTTTGAAACCCTTTGTTCTGAGAAGATCTTGATAGATATCTTCGGATTCTCCCCGATGTACTATACTATTACTTACCTTTCAAATTGTCGGCATATTCACTCAAATCTATAGAACGCGCCCAACGTATAAAGCGTTGATTGGTCCAAACTATCGGATCAGTATCTACTGATTCTGACTGCACCCGTCTCATAGCCAAAGTTTGACGATCATATTTGACAATTCGTAAGACGTGAATACCTATCGCGTGTAAAAAATAAAACAAAAGAAAACAAAAATCATAGAGACGCGGGTTAGTTAATAATTTAAAAAGAATTCTTCAATTCTTTTGCATTAGGACTTGAGTATTCAATTTCAGAAATCTTACCATGAACGATGCTCGCTTGATGAAATTTACGAGTTACACCCAAAAATTTCTCCAATTCCTTTTTCGATAGCGTATCTAGCATCCGAGCGTCTACCATAGAGTGCATGAATGATTCGGCGTATTGGGGTAAACCAATATCGGGTAACCATTCTGATGCTACCCAAGTATGACCTAATTGCGTTATCATGGGATAACGTACCAATTCGGGTCGTCTCTGCTCTTCGATAGCTAAACGTAACTTTTTACGATGCATAGGATGAGTTAAACCTAGACCATTTTCTAGCTCGACATCGTTAAGCTCCAGAAGTACTTTGCCACTTTTCACATTCTCAGCACAACGTGTACTATATTGGGGCATGCCTAGGGCGACTTCAAGCCAAGCTAGAACCTGTGATGCTCGCCAACGTTCCATCGGTAGTGAAGAAGCCTCACGCAATAACCGAAGTTTCTCAGCATAACCCTCTTCGGAGAGGGGGCTCCAGGAAAAGTCGGTAACTTAGAAAGAAAAAGAAAGACATAAACTTATTGATAATTTGCTTTGAAAAAAGTGTTTCAATCTATACATTCAGTTGCCCCATCTGCTGAGAGGGCCTTGTTTTTATTGCGCGATCTGGCAAATACACGGGAGATACTACCCCAAGTGCCGCCACGCGCGTTGCGAGCAGTAAAATTTGTTCCCGATTTAGCGGGAAATTTTCGAACCACAGCACCTGTTGCATCGGAATCGACAGGCGAACCTAGTTGTTCTACGGATCTGAAAGCAGTGAGGTTTTAAAATTTTCTAAAATAAATTGAAACACCAGTGAACTGCGTACCTAGAATATGCTGCTGAGTTTAGGGGCGATAAAGTAGGACTCCGTTCCTTAGGGGTTCCGTCTGGAAAGCAAAAATTAAATCATACGAAAGAAAGACGGAAATGCTCGTTTTGCCCTTACACTGATACGCGTTCTGACTAGATACTAAAGATATACTATCCGGATCTACAGTTATGCAGGGACCATTATCGCAAGTGCCATCGCTAAAATTCAAATCACCGCCCGTACTCTCCCGATCACTATTATTCCTAAGTACGGAATCATTTGAACAGGAATTTCGATCGCCTGTTGTGTTTCCCGAACTGCTGCTAAATGCTGACAGCGAATTTGAATTGCCACGCCCACTATCATCGTTACGAAAATTATTGGTAGCAGTGTTTGGCAATTGATTTAGTAAACCCGAATTAGCTGAGGGCGGGGTTAGAGGGGCAAATGATAATAGACTTTCTTGATCAGAAAGGCATCCGGACATCTGTCGTCTTGCTTCTTGCAATTGCTCCTGCAATCTTTGCAACTGTATATCCCTAGCACTAAGCTGTTGAGCCAACGCTAACGATCTTTCAGCCTCGTCGCGTGCCTGTTTCAGTAGTTGCCATCGCTCTCGCTCACGATCCCCCGACAACTTGGCATTATTTGTTTCCGTCTCTCTAACCCGATCCTGATAGTTTCGTATGAAATCTCGCAATTCTTGTTCTTTTTCGTGCAAAGAAGCACACAATTGCTTTACTTGACTTAGTAATTCCGATTTTTCCGCTTTCAATTTCTTGCGATCTAATCTCAGAGACATTAACTGATTGCGAACTGAACGCAATTCTTGTTCTAAGCGATCGATACGCTGTTGAACATTACCACCGCTACCGTCGGTGGATTGGCCATCGCCGCAGCTATTTGTATCAGAGAGATCAATGCCACCTACAGCACCTTCAGGCGAATTTTCAAGTAATTTCCTTAAGCGTTGTATCTCAGCATTAAGTCGTTCATTTTCTTCGCGCAATTTGGTGGGAGAGTCTGAAAAGCGGATAGCAAGAATTTATTATATATAGATGGTAATAAATAGAATTATTGGACTAAATATTTTCAATTTTTCCGCTATATATGACCTTTTTTGGGATCCTTTTTGGTAAAGGTGTGGATAACAGTAAAGCAGAGACAACTTACACATTACGTTATTAACATGAACACTTCTAAATCGAAGGGGAAAAGAATTTGGTATTCGAATTTTTAGAATGGTCTCTGAAAGCACTAGACTACTATACGCAAGCTCATGCTCACTGGTCGTGACGCTTGGATGATACTAATTATGGTGGCTTATGCAAAAAGGGTATCTGCGTCTTCAAAACGATAGAGAAGCTTGCTGGCGATTGTGAATTGAATAAGTCGCGGTACTCATATCATTGCGCCACGCCACCTATTTCGAAAAACAGGAATAGTGTTGAGAGCGTTAATTAGGAATTTTTTGTATATCTCATTAAGCAAACACTACTCGCTTAGTAGTTAGTATTTGATTAATTGCAAATGCTGGCCTATGATTCGTACATTTTTGGAAGAGATGTTAATCGTAGTCTTTTGTTCTAGTATTCATAAGGCGTATTTATGTACATAAACATATGTGTTATACATTTCTTCTATATCAGGGTTGGCTGAAAAGTTTTCGACCGAAGTGAGAAAAAATATTTTTCGTGCAAAATCCAACCTTATTCATAACAGCAAATTGCGGCTTGTCGGTTGGAAGAACAAAACGGACAGACGAGCAGACAAGCTTAGAATTAGTATTAAAAAAGAATGGGAATATCGCTGTAAATATACGTACAAACTTTATATACCTTTGCGTCGCAAGTGGCGTAGGGTATAAAAAATGAATATAAGAGAAATTTTGTAAGCGTTTTACGTATACATACAAACGTATACAGGCCGCATAACTTTACGCACGTTTAGTTGATTGATGGCAGCCATTAAAGATAACACGTGTAATAGTAATATCGTTGGGCTAAAGCGAGAAATAGACAGAGAGATCTGGATCGATTTGAGCTACGATTCTGAATCGATCATAAAGCATGGGGGCTATCCAAAGTCTTTCAGGATGTTGCGTACATCCGCAGAAAGTTAATATATTTTTGCTATATGCCAACCATGTGAGTTTTCTTTTGTTTTTATTCGTGAAGCGTCATTTTGCATTTATGCAAAGTTTTCGGGCTCGCCAATGGATGACGTGAAAGAAGAGATTCAAGTATGTTATGAATGGATGAGATTTCTGACAAGTGGATGATTAATGGCCATTATGAAGGTAAATGCGGGAGAAACTTGACGTATTCCAGGTAATTAACCGCTGGTTAATATTTCTGCGAATTGAGTTTAAATTTAGTTTTTTTTCTTCTCATACGAGAAAATGTAATTAGAACATAGCTTAGACGATGGCATTGAAATTTCATGCACAAATACTTTCTTAACTTTTTTTATAGAATTTAATTTGACAGTCAGGTAATAATATGCTCTTTACTTTTTCTTTTACATGTAATAACTTTTGACATTACCAAGAGAATTCCCAAAGGATCATGCAAAACTTTTACAACAACAGCAAACAAATATAATAAACAAAGTTGAAAGTTGTTACAACTAATTAAAGTCACATTACGCACAAACACGCGCAAATACATACATACATACACACACATACACACACACACACACACACACACACCATAACCACACAACTACACATTTACACATATAAAAAAAAGGTAAAAAATAAAATTTCTCTAAGAAGAACATAAAAAAAAAAAAAACAAAACGATTAATATTAATATTTGTTTCGTTAAGGGGAAGAACATCTTGAATGAAGTTGTGTGTCGAAATCAAGAAGAAAAAAAAAAACGAAAGAAAGAGAAGAGGAATGAATAACATAAGTCCAGTTTCTCAAGAAAACATGAAAAGAAAACGAATTGAAAAAAAACCTATGGTATTGCGCTTTGAGCGCTAAAGGTTGAGGTAGCTTGTTATAACCGCTATATACACAAAAGTTCATGTTCAGTTCAGTCGTGTATATAGTAATTGTGATAATAATAATAATAAGAAGGTTTTCTTCTTTTTCTTCTACTTTCTTATAGAATGTCTCCTCTAGCGTTTTGCTCTTAAAATACCGAATATGAAAAATGAAAAGAAAAGGAGAAAATCAACTAAATGTAAGAAGCAAATATGTGCACAGTTCATTGTAATTGCAAAGACAAAAGGATATGAAATTGTAAAAAGAAGATTAATATGTAGCGGGATACCGTAAAAGAAGGAATAAACACTCATTCAAGCAGACAGACAATAAACTTACCTGCATGATAATTGTACTTTGTTGTATCGTTACGATTACGATTTCCATCGCAATTATTGATGTTGCTATTGTTCAACATGGCGGCAGTGTATGCATAAGTATTGCTGATTGTCGTTGCTAGCGATGACGCGAATAATCCATCCGTGGGTGTGGTGATGTTATACGTATCGGTCGAATAGCGTGTATCCATTACATGACCAAAAGAGGAGCATGCAATATCGTTGGCATTTTTCTTATCAACTGTTTACACACACATATACATAGTATATATAAGTATATGAAGGTAAATAAACAAATAAATGAAAAAAAAAGGGAAAATAAATAAATAAACAAAATTGGAGAAAGACGATAAATGTATATGTATGTGCATTATTGGTTTTTTCTTCGCTTCAGACACGTTGGGGGTTTATTCATTTTGTCAAGACGTTTGTAACAAGTAAAAGATAACTTATCTATCAACTATATACACTCTTTATTCTTATCAAATTTCGAGTTGATCTAGGCGTGTCCACCTCATATCCAGTGTCTATCCGTCTCTTCCTCCCTCTCACTTTCTCTTTCCTTCAAGGAAATTAGGAATCGATCAAGGCATGTTGACAGTCTGTCCTAATAGTTCTAGGCATGTCCACATCATCTACTTGATTGACAGCCTGTGCCTCTTGCCAATCTAGTGTAAGCATTCTCCTAGTCATAAGAACGAAACTATGTACCTAAGGTTAAGTAAAACATGGGAGTCTTATGCGCACAGGCTTGCAAATGAAAATGTTCCAAATCGGCCACAAGACAGCGTTAACTTGAAACACTTGGCCTTTATTTGCGCAATGCCTATACACCACCGCATATGCGTGGACAAACATTCCGATACAGAATAATTCTAGATCGAGCATATATACAAAAATGGAAATGGATGTTACCTAAGCGCATCCAATAGTATAAACTATCGAAATTTAGTTTGTTCGTACTTTTCATTTTTCGTTTTCTTCTGAGATAAAGGGGATGCGTTCGAAGAACATATGTAGTTTTCTTACTTCTTCAAAATAAACAAATATTCGGCCACAGTCGCGTGTATTTATTTCATACGTGTTTCAATTCAAACGTGTGAATATAGTAAACTTTATTAATGCATTATGTCAGTGTCCTGCAGAGCTTCAATATTTCTTAATCTAAATATTTCAACACATGTTTTTTCAATAACTTCCAATGGAGAGCATGCAAGTATTACATAGAATCACGTGAAAGTCTCTCCATCACGTACCGAATTAAAAAAAATTCCAATGGCATTGTGCTTGAAGCGAACTTGTACTTTTCCACGCATATAAATTTTGATTGTTAACATTTGATATTTGCGAGCATTAGAAATTTATTAAGGGAAAATATCCTCTTACCCTATTACCTGTAAAAATATTTCATTAACTACCGCAAAATTTTGAGGAGAAGGAGTTGCCGTGAAAACCGATGATTTACTATAAGAATTACTCTACAATCTCGCGCCGGTACGAATAAGACGTTGCATTGCATGATAAGCTTAATATATTCAAGGAAAATCCTTAAGGAAGCAGTTAGACGGCAATCACGTCAAATTATCCAAATGCATCGTCTTTGTATTGATTAAAATCGATTGCCGGTCAATATATTAACTAATAACAGAATTTAAGGTTGCGTTATACGGGTATATTAAGCTTTGTGCAGATGTATGCAATGCACAGAAGGATTTGAGATAGACGCCCTTCTGTTTATGCCGATCTACTCAAAATTACTTACTGAATCGAACCAAGCTGGTCTATCCAATTTTCGCCTATACGTCTAGTATCCCATTGCCCAAACTACAAGTTACAAATTTTGGGATATTTTAATGGAACTCAGATAGATCCACCTTTTATTATATCGATCGATCCAGGATCGCTAAGCTTTTCTGTCTATGTATCGCTATGTTTGTTTGTGTTGAACCTGCAGAGAGCAGTTATTGAGACATCCTGACGAAATTTCGTACGCCAACGGATTTTGGCCTATGGACGAATACTATTGAGAGTGGTTTGGGTTGACCAATTTCCATATAACACATCATTTTGAGAAGAGGTTGTATGAAAAATCGTGGAATAGAGTGAGGCGGTGGGCCGCTGTAGTGCTTTTACCAATTTATTATACACTCAGGTGAGGTTCGCTACACGTGTAATACAGAAATGGTCAGAAAGAGGGAGAGAAAAAGAAAAACTTGGAGAGTAGGGAAGTGGTCACAGACTAGCGGCTTTGAGACCAATTGGAAAACGTTATGCCTTTCCCAATTGAGCACTCGTTATAGCTACGGCCACTCACTAACGCTCTGGTCAAATCGAAGTAATATTTGAACCCTCGAAACAACGACTTGTTTTACTCTGTTTCTTTTCTCTGTCATCTTTTTTCAGGAGGGGTAAAATTTAATCACATATTTGACTTTTTTTCGAATTTTATGACGACATTTCGCATTTATGAGGCTAGACGAAGGGAATATTTAGTTGGTGCTCTCTTTCATCCGTTAGAGTCCACATTTAAAGGGGCGTTTATCATTTCCTCACTTCTTTGGTTATTTCTTTTTCATTAATTTTTATTAAAAAAAAGTAGAAACTTTTCTCAACCAATATCCTGCATTTAACTTTGACGGTTATTAAGGATACGTTTCAAGGTAAATTTATCTTTATTGCTTGCTTTTCAACTTTATTTGATTTGAAACGATGATATCTCTTAAGAGTGCAATGATATATAAACACCTCTCACGCTGTCATGCTTTCTCAATAGTATTTATGCATGCGCATGCATATAAACGCACTTACGGTCATGAATGCAAGCAATTTTCAGCAAATGACTCGGGGAGGATGTGTGCAGATGGTTTGCGCGTTTTAAATGCCGAACACATTGAATGCATTTGCTTGGCGCATCATATATCCAAATATCAAAAAGTTGTGTTCATTCTATGTGTTTATATATATATATATATATAGCTGAGCATATAGTTTGCTTTGCATATAATTGAGAAAATCCTATTTTTGTTCTGCATGCGGTTTTAATCAAATAGCAATCAAATTATATGCGCGAACACTCCGAGCTTCATATGATTTGATCATTTGCATTTTTATTAAAGCAAGAGAAGAAGGAAAAAATTAAATAAAATTATATTTGTATATTTAAAATAACAATACGTGTGAAGACCAATCCACCGGAGCAAGAGAAAATGGAGTGATATGTGATATCCGAAGAAGTGCGTGTGTTTGAAAGGCTTAACATAAGAAGTGAAAAGGCCATTGTGTGACTAGTTTTAAAAATTGCGTGTTATATGGGAAGTGATTGAAAAAGTGGTCCGATCCGGAACATTTTTAATAGCGTTCTTCCTTAGGCTAAAACACGACAGTATACCAAATTTTCATTAAAACAGCCCAAAAATTGAACATAGGAATAGAAGATAGACATATGGATAGACACGCGATTCTCAATTGGTCGATATACCAAAAAGCAGGTCTATCTGAAGTTCTTCTGGGTGTTAACATCAGCACAAACTTAACAGACCCTTCCAGCATAACTGAATACGATTTCGGAATTTTACAGTTGAATAGTATAAGAAGAAACGGAGGATGCTAAAATGCTTTCAGTCACATCAATAAAAGACAGTTTCGGACAATGCTCTTTCTCCTAAAGATAGCAATTGGAAGTTTAGGAGACTAGACTTTCAGGCAAGGATAAGTACAACCTCTGTTTTTTTATAGAACGTCAACAAATTGGCTTAAATGAACTAACGGTAAAATTTCTCAAATAACGATAGATTATTGGCAAGGTAACGCATTCAGAAGTTCTAAAGGTGGATCTCGCTCGTCAAAACGAAACGCTTAAGATGGCAAATTTACCGACATAGCGAAAGCACAAACAGAAGGGAATAATCAATATTCAAGGAGCTAGCTGCCCCAAGTACAAGAACTATGCAAACAAGCGTATGAAAGAAATGTTAAACACGTAGGATATCGCATATTACACATACTACTCAATAAGGTCGTAGGATGACACATAGAGGAATGACGGACTATTTATGAACCATTATGGTCAACCTTTAAATTTCCAAAACATTCAAAAAAAAAAAACAAAAACCATGACCAAAAATTCGACCAAAGAACACGTAGGATATCGCATATTACACATACTACTCAATAAGTACGTATGATGAAGAAGACGGACTATTGATGAACCATTATAATCAATCTTTAAATTTTCAAAGCTTTGAACAAAAAAAAAAAAAACAAAAATCACGTAGAATATCGCATACTACACATACTACTCAATATGGACGTAGGATGACGCATAGAAGAGTGATGTACTTACTATTGATGAATCATTATTATCAACCTCAAAATTTCCAAAGCATTAGAAAAAAAAAGAAAACATCAATTCCGCCCATTAACCATAAGTTACAGTTGTTTGATGTAGCGGTTGTTTTAGATATCGGTTTTTACCTATCGTAAGTCTTGCAACTGCAATCTAGAAAATTTTTCCAACCTTTTCATTTTATAAACATATATTTTATATTATTTTTTAAATTAAATTCATTTTATATTTGGATTTTCTACAAAGAAGTTTTCCGTTTTATTAATTTTGCGCTTCATTAATGTTTATGGAAAGCAAATTTCTTGTCATATGCTTTCGCTGCAATAATGCAATGCAAGCTATATAAAGTCGACTCGTTTTTTCACACACATGTACATGCATTCATTGCGTTCAATACTTTATTTTGTTTATTTTTTTATTCAATTTCTTCAAAGAGAATGAATAGCAAGAGAGTTTGCACCCATTGCTACAATAGTTAGCGAAAAGAGCAGCGGGTATTACGTGCACTGTAGCTTGGAATGCATGCATTTTCATTAAACTTATAAAGAAATATTTCCTTATTTCTGTCATTTCTTTATAGATTTTTTTCTCTCACTCCCACTTTCTCTTCTTAATATTGCCCTCTGTCTCTCTCTCTATCTCTCTCTCTCTCTCTCTCTATCTCTATGTCTTTAGAAGAAAATATATTCTATATATGTCTACTCACATAATACATTTGCATATTCATAGAAGCAGCTCAACACTTTTTCTATTCACATTCTATTCTATAACACATCACTTATTCTGTTATATATTACATCACATTACACATATTTGCCCGAAAGAATTGATTGACTCTTAACTTTTATCGTTACTCACACATTTCATCTCAAATACTCTGTCCTCAGTGCTCCTAC